CACATGTGTGTCCTATTTATTTCACTTAAGAGTATGGCCTCAATATGCATCCATTTAGCTATAAATGTATCTAGTTTCTCAGTTGTTTTCGTTTTGTTTTGTTTTTGATACCAGGAATCGAACTTCAGTTGTTTTTGAAGATGTATATTCAAAAATGATATCATGACTCATCAGCTATGAAAAGCTCTGTCATTCTTTAAATCTTTTCACAGGAAGAATTCAAATTTAAATTTTATAATCCAAATTAAACAAAAACAACAGAAAAACAAGACTAGGTTTTCAAACAATACCAATAACATTTTAAATTATATTCTTATTTGTGCATGATACAAATATTTTCAAAGCTACATATTTTTGCTTAGATATTGAGATAAATGACTACAAATAACAATAATGTAGTGTACATTTCAAAGAGCTGGAAGAATTTTGAAAAATTTTTCTATAAAGAAATGACAAGTGTTTTAGAAGATAGATATATTTAACGTGGTTTTAAAATTATGCAGTGTGTGCATGTATTGAAACATTACATTGTTAATATGTACAATTTTTGCATTTTCATGTATCAGTCAAAAATTCATTTTTTAAAAATGAGAAAAATAGGAAATAGTCAGAAGAGCCGGGGATTTAGCTCAGTGGTTTCGCCGCCTGCTGCGAAGGTGCAAAAAACCTAGTTCAATCCCCGGTACCAAAAAAGAAAATAGTCAGAAGAAAGTTGTTCAGTTAATTAAAGTGTATTATTAAAAGGGCACCAAAGAAAAACCAAAAGCAATTTAAGTGCTACAGCCCTGAGTCTGAATGAGTGTGTGAATAGTGATTTAAGTTCCTTTGCTCAGTGCAAGATAACAAGATGGAAAATGTGAATGGACTGGCAGTACACTGCTCAGGCACACATCGAAGGGGGTCCTCAGCCTTCTAAACTCAGGTTCAAGCTCCCAAACACGGAAACCACAGAAAGTTAATGATAATTGAGATCATATGTTTCTTATCAAAGCTTCCTCAAGAAAAGCAGTTTAAGGCAAAATTCATAAATATGTGTCTCAACCACACACTACCAATCCCCTTCCGCATTGGAGCCTTCAGCTCATTTGTTGACTTAATTACCCAAGGCACAGGAAGGTTAAACAGAGTGATAATCTGATTTTCTCTGATTGCTGATCACTGCAGAAAGTGCCCTGTAGGATGCAAAAATAAACCTAGAACCTCAGGCTATGTAAAATTGAGAGGTGAGGCAATTATCCAGATCATTCAGGCAAGGTTGACTGTTTACAGTAATCAAATTATCTGGATAAGTACTCAACCTCTGGTCTGTCTACCGGAACAGTGGCCTTTATCATCTCATCTGGCCTAATTAACTGGGTTATGCCTTATATTTGTATATAGTGTGAAGTATTTATACTTAATAGTCATATTCTTAAGGAAAAACTTCTAAATATCCTATAAAAATTACATCTCAAATGACAGGGATAACAAGACATTTTCTCCAAGTAAAGAATGAACGCTTGTTTTAAATAATTAGAAAATATAAAACCACAGGAAGAAAACAACATACGGGGAAAAATAGATTCATTGTGGTTGAGTCTAATATAAGGCCTATATGAAGAGTGGTGTTAGAGAAGCTGACACTTCTATGGGGTAAATGGAAGTTTATCACGCCATGTGGATTGACAGTCTGCACTCTGATATTTGATTGTCAAGGGACACATCTCCCCAAGTTTTTAAATAGGAGAATCAGCTAACTTTATGTTTTCTTACTTAAGAAAGTAATACCTGCTCATTTTAGAAATTTTACAAAATATAGAAAATAATAAAGAAGAAAACAAAAATCATAATTCTAAGGACCCCACTATTAATGCTATTGCATGCTTTTTTGAAAGTTTATATATTCTGCTATTTGAGCTTTCAGATTAAACTAGACATGATTATCCAATTATGCCAGTCCATTAAAAATTAGAATTATATTGTGCATATTCTTTTGAAACATGAATTTTTATTAGACATTTTATGGGTGTGTTCTTAGGTCAATTAGTATGTGGATGGGCATAATTTTTAATTCATTTACATGAACATGATACAAATCTAATTCCTATTTTGTGATACTTAGTTTATTTCTACTTTTATTAAAAGCAACTCGGTACTGGGTATTCTTACACAGGTGTCTTTACATACCTATATGATTCTTTTCCTCTTGGGAGGAGCCCTAGAAGTAAAATTGCTTGATCAAAGGAAACACGCATTTATTTAGCCTTTGATACATACTGGCTAATTGAATGCTGCATCTTTGTTTTATAACTTTTCAAAGGCAGAAGCTGGGTAAAAGAATGCCCAGTTCTCTGCAGTGTGTCATCACTAAAAAAGAAATCTTTATTTAAAACTTTTTGGTTTTGGAATTTGATTTGTAAAAGTCAACTGTATTGTTTTTTGCACTTTATAGAAAATGAATACTTATTTTTCATTTTTATTTCTTCCTGATTTCCGGTGAGTCACCTCTTTAGATAATTGCATTATTTATTTGGGGGTTATTTTTCTCTTCTCTTTTTTTTAAGAGCACATAGTCATAGTAAGACTACCCAACTTCTGTTTATGACTATTTTACAAATAATTTTCTTAGTTATTAATTTCCCTGGTAATATTTTAATTGTATGCTTTCAATTTAGCTTTTGAGATATATGTAGTCAAACTGATGACTTTTCTCTTTATTCATTTTTCAATCTTTACCTATAAAATCTTTTATTTATAGAATCAGTATGGATATGCCTACATTTTATTCTTGCTTACTTTATTATCATGGTAAAATTTAAATCTTTAATTCACTGGGGGAGAAAATTATCACTAAGAAAATACAGTTAGAATTAGAGTATTTTAATTCTGTGAGTTGTGATTTTCTTATCCTGCAATCCTAGATCATTGGGAAGCTGAGGCAGGAGGGTCATTTGAGCTCAAGGAGTGCAGGGATACCTGGGCACCATAGCAATACTCTATGTGTTAAAAAAAAAAAAAAGAAAATTGGGGCCGGGGATTTAGCTCAGTGGTTCCGGTGCCTGCCTCACAAGCGCAAGGACCCGAGTTCAATCCCTAGTACCAAAAAAGAAAGAAAGAAAGAAAGAAAGAAAGAAAGAAAGAAAGAAAGAAAGAAAATTAAAATAGCATTATTGAGTAATATGGTACGTAAGAAGACATAGAACAAACCATTCTAAATTCTGAGGTAAAATAATTTCAACCTAGATTCTTTACCTGGGCAAACTAGCATTCAGTGTGAGCACAGAATGAAGATACTGTTATACATACAAGAAGGAATTAAATAAATTTATACCTCAGAGAATTTTCCTGAGAAATTAACTTGAAATGGCTTAGGCACCTGAGAACATGATACACGAGGCAAAGTTTTCAGCCCAGGAGGGCAGGAGCAGGACTGTCTTGTAAAATAACTGTGTGTCACAATGGGAGCAGCCCATTAGCCAAGGCAGAGGGGGTGGGTCAGAAAGAGGAAGAGGTAAATAAAAGGACTTATCCAATGTACAATAAGAGAGAACTGAAAAAAAGGAGCCCAGGGTAAAGGCAAACAGTGCAAGAAATTAAATGAAGAACATTAAAACTCTTAAGAAAAAGAAGTTGTTTCAAACAAGAAACATAAGTGAATCACAATTTTAAGCAAAGAAAAGTTCATTTGACATTAATACTATAAACAGTCTCCTTTGATTTTCTGAATAGTCATGATAAACAGTAAATATGACAATATAATCTGAGTATACCATTGACTAAATTTATCATGTTATTTGTATAGTCATAGTCATATAAATCCTATAATTGATATCTGGCTTTAAAAGGCTACAATAGAAAAATAAATCATGTGCAAAGACCTTGTATAGTTGTCAAGCAGAATGAAATTGTGAACAATGTTAATGACTTGCAAGTAAAATTAGTTGGCAGAAAAATGTAGAATAAAGAGAAGAGCTGGAAAAGTAGTGAGCAGTGTTAATAGTCTCATCTTCCAAATAAGGAATCAAAAGATACTCTGAAAATTAATGAAATAATTTGTGAGGCTGCAGGGAAAAAGGAACACCTCTACACTGTTGGTGGGAATGTAAACTAATAATCATTATGGAAATCAGTGTAGGGATTCCTCAAAAAACTGCAAGAAATTCTATTTGATCCAACTATTCTACTTCTTGGTATCTTTCCAAAAGAGTTAAAGACATCCTATTATAGTTGTACATGCCTACTCGTGTTTATGGCAGCACAATTCATAACAACTAAATCTTAGAAGCATCTTTTATGTTCATTTCCAGAGGAATGGATAAAGAAAAATGTGGTATTTACACACAAAGGTGTACTACTGTGCCATAAAGAAAAAAGTGGGTGAACCTTGAGACCATAATATTAAGTGAAATAAGTCAGGCACACAAGCTGAAATATCACATGGTTTCTCTTATATAAGAAACACAAATTATAAATAAAGAGAAAAATAAAAGATAGATAATAGCATGTAGGGAGATAGATTTTTTTTTCAAAGGGGAAAGGGATCAAGAGAGAGGGAATGGGGAGGGAAGGGAAGAAAAGGGTATGAAAAAAGGTATTAAGATGTGTTATGTACATGTACCAATTCCATACAAGGATTGTAAACATTATTTATTGCAAGCATGTACTGCAAACAACTAAAAAAAAAGAATCAGAGGGCCAGGTATTTAGCTCAGTTGTTCCACCACCTGCCTTGCAAGCACAAAGTCCCGAGTTCAATCCCCAGTACCAAAAAAAAAAAAAAAAAAAGAATCAGAGCTATAAATGTATTAGAGGTCATAAAGACAACCATTAAAAATAACAATAAGATAAATACTAACACTAATATGCTCAGTGGGGAATGAGATACTGTAGGTGAGTAAATTCTTCATCCCGCATGTTCAAGTTGTCTAAATTAGATACAACAGAAAATACAAATTCAAATATATATATAGCTATAAAGTAACAACTGTAGAATTAAAAACAGATTGTGTACTATGGACAAGAGTTGACTATTGCTTTTCATTCTAAACTTTCATGCTGTGTTTGATGTATTATCAACTCTTTGAAGTAGGTCAGTAAAACTCAAAGCTAAGAATAAGAAAACAAAAAATGCCCAAGAAGTTGTAATTATAAGAAGTATGCCATTAAACATATAAAAGCCTTTCTGATTAAAATATGAGAACTGCCTATGCAAAGAAAGAATGAATGGACCTTAATTGAAGAGTTTACAGAGGAATGTCTGTGCTGTCTCATCAATGGTGGATTTCTCTAAATGTCTCTGAATTTTAGCTGAGAACTTGGTTGCTCAAAATTAAGACTATTTCCTAGTTTCTGTTAAAGCTACTAATAGTTACATAAGTAAGTTCTGGTAATAGTGTGGGAATGAGAGTTTTATGTGCAAAAGTCAGATTAAGCCTTTAGAGGAAAGGTGTGAACTTCCCACTTCCCCTTTACTTCCTTCCAGCTGCCAGGATCTCTGACTTACAATCAAAATATCTGCAGAAAATCAAGATTCTAAAGATAAAGTATCTTATTCTAAATCATCAGCAATGACCAATTTATCTATTTTTTATATTTTGCATATGCTTTCAGTGAAAAGCAAACATGGGTATTCTAAAACCAAATTTCCATTAAGTATAGAGTTCAGAATATTCTACGGCATTATTTATTCCCACAGTGATTTAGCAGTCTAAAGCACTAATTTTCAAAATGTAAATTTATGAGTTAGAATATTTACTGGAAAGATTCTTTTATTATTAAGAGTAGTTTATAAAATGAGGCACCCAGATTATTTGAAACTACTTATTTTGTAATAAAAATCTGTAAAAATACATTACAAACCCAAATTATGTTTTCAGAGTTTTTCCAGACAAAAAGTCTACTGTGATTTTGATTATGATTGTGTTAATAACACGTGTGCCCAAGATAATCTTAAAAGAATAAAGTTGGGAAAAAATCATGCTTCCTGATTTCCAGACTCACAAAAATTACTCACTATGTACAGTAATCAAGACTGTAAAGTGCTAGCTATAGGATAGGAATGAAATCAATGGAGAACTGAGATCTCAGAAATAAACCTGTATGTAATACAGTATTTATTTTTTTGGTATTAGGAATCGAACTCGGGTCCTTCCACCTGCACAGCAGGTGGCGAAACCATTGAGCTAAATCCCCGGCCCATAATACAGTAATTTTTGACAAGGGTATCAGGAACAGAATATGAAGACCACTCAATGGGAAATTAGGCCAACTGGATATCCTGATCCAAAGGAATTATGCAGGACTCTTACCTTACACTATATTAAAAACTTAAGCCAAAATGGAATGAAGACCTAAATGTAAGAGCTAAAACTATAAAAACTCTCTGAAGAAAACATAGGAATAAAATAGTTAATTCTTAGATGAGAAGCCAAAAACATATGCAAAAAATAAAAAATGTATAAACTGGGCAGTAACACTATCAAGAAAGAGAAAAGACAACCCAGAAAATATTTGCAAATCATATAGTTGTATATAGCTGTCAGAATATATAAAGAACAAATGCAATTCAACAATTCAAAGACAATAACCCCATTTAAAAAAAATGAACAGGGGACTTGAAAAGACATTTTTTCCTAGATGATATACAAACAGCCAACAAACACTTGAAAAGATGCCCCACATCATTAGTTATGAAGGAAATACAAATCAAAACCAAGAGATAACACTTGCTACTTATAAGAATGGCTATAATAAAGAAGAGAATATAACAAGAATTTAGTGATGCTGTGAAGAATCTTTAACTCTCATAGATTATTCATGGGGATTTAAAATAGTACAGCCACTTTGGAAAACCTTCTTAGCAGTTCCTCAAGAAGTTAAATATCAAGTTACTCTATTACTCAGCAATTCCACTCCTAGGTATATACTTCAGAGTATTACGCTATGTTGGCACAATATCTTGTATATCAATGCTTGTAGGAGCATTTTTCAAAATAGTCCAAAAGTAGAAACAACCTAATGCCCATCAAGTGTTGTGGATAGAAACAATACAATGTATTTATACAATGGAATGTTATTTAGTCATAAAAAAATTCAGTGCTTAAACTCCTTTCCTCATTGAGAAAGATCTGTCTCCTTAGTTCCTATTGTCTATCTTTTATTTTGCTCTGTATTTATAACTTGGATTTTTCATATAAAAGAAATCATGCCATATTTAAGCTCATGTTTTCCAAGATTGGTGGCGGTGTGTGTGTGGGGGGTGCAAACAGGATTTGAAATGTGTCATGTATAGGTATCAATTCCTCACTAGGAGTGAAAACATTGTGTACTGTAAACTTGTACCAAGAAAAGGAAGGGGATCAAGTGATGTATGCAGGGAGAGGCGGAAGGGAAGGGAAAGGAGATTAAAAAATAAGTTAAAATGTATTACGTATGTGTACCAACTCCCCACCAAGAATGTAAACATTGTGTACTAAAAATATGTACTAATAAAGAAAATGATCTGAAAAAAAATGCAGTACTAATATATGCTAAAGATGGATAAACCTTGCAAAAATGGTAAGTGAAAGAAGCCTGTCATAAAAAGCCATGTATTGTTTGATTCTACTTATATCACATATGTTGAATAGGCAAATTCTTAAAGACAGAAAAAGATGTTATCATAGATTGGTGTGAGAACGAAGTAAATGAAGAGGGACTGTTAATGCATATGTAGTTTCATGTCAAGGTGATGAAAATGTAATGAAATTAGATAATGATAATGGCTATATAAGTTTGTGAATTTACTAAAAATTATTGAATTGTAACTTTCAAAAGTGAATTTTATGGCTCTTGAATTATGTCTAATAAAACACACACTAACCACACACATAACAGGAAATAAGCATTTATTACTTCAGTAATAGCGTTATTTTTTCAACCATCATAAAGTAATTGAAGGGGATTCAAGTAAATCAAATATGTACATTTAACTTTATCCAATTTACTTATTTTTTTCAAGTATTTTTTTCTTGTTGCCCTATACTTTATCCTTTCTTTCAAAATTGTAGTACTTTTTTTCTTTCTAATCTTGAATGTAATTTGAGAATGAAAGATCCATATTAGCTTTGACTTCCAGTGATAGAGACCGGCTGGCACCATTAACAAGAGAGGAACATTCTGACACTCAAGGAAGGTCCTCTTATTTTCCACTTCTATAAAGAGTCAGAGGCAAGCCCTATTATTAGAGCCAGTGAGACTAGATTCAACATATGATTAATCACCTATGTAGAAGCAAAAATTCAGCCTGGATTGCACCTAGTGTGTGGGTCAGAGAGTTATTCCAAGGCTTGTTAAAGGCTTCAGGCTTGTAATTTTTCCCTCTACAGTAAACATTCTTGTAACTTGCAGTTAAAATGAGGAAGAAGGA